TCTTGCAGTAGGAGGATCCATGTTATCAACCGAGGTTTAGCGTCTTTCTTAGACATTAAATACTTGATTGCAGCATGATCAGTATGAACTATGACCTTAGATCCTACGAGATAAGAACGGAATTTCTCAAATGCAAATACGACAGCTAGAAGTTCTTTTTCTGTTGTAGCATAATTGCATTGAGCTTCGTCTAGAGTTCTGCTTGCGTAGTAGATTACGTGCAGTTTCTTATCTTTTCGTTGGCCAAGCACTGCTCCGACTGCATAGTCACTTGCATCGCACATGATTTCGAATGGGAGTTCCCAATCAGGTGCTTGCACGACTGGCGCGGAGACAAGGGCTTGTTTGATCTTATGAAACGCGGCTAAGCACTCATCATCGAACTCGAAGTTTGTTTCTTTGCAAAGCAAACGCGTAAGAGGTCTAGCTATTTGAGAAAAATCTTTAATGAATCGCCTATAGAATCCTGCGTGTCCTAAGAAACTACGAATTCCTTGTCAACGTTTGTGGGAGGTTGTAGGCTGGTCATGACTTCGTTTTTAGCCTTGTCAACTTCAATACCTTTTCCGGAAATTCTGTGCCCAAGCACGATTCCGTCTTGTACCATGAAGGAACATTTTTCTTAATTTAATACTAAATGCTTATCTTCACATCTTTGCAGAACTTTACCAAGATTGCCTAGGCATTTTTCAAAAGAAGATCCATAGACAGAGAAATCGTCCATGAACACTTCCATGAAATCCTCAATAAAATCTGTGAAGATCGACATCATGCATCGCTGGTAGGTAGCAGGTGCATTACATAATCCAAAGGGCATACGTCGGTAAGCAAACGTGCCATATGGACAAGTGAATGTCGTTTTTTCTTGATCCTCCGGTCGAATAGGAATTTGGAAAAATCTGAAGTATCCATCAAGGAAGGTGATTAGCTAACCTTTCTAGCATTTGATCTATGAAGGGAAGTGGGAAATGATATTTCCTAGTTGCTGCATTCAGTTTCCGGTAATCGATGCACATACGATGTCCAGTTACTGTTCTTGTAGCGATCATTTCATCCTTATCGTTTTTAATGACAGTGACTCCTCCTTTCTTTGGAACAACATGAACTGGGCTAACCCAAGTGCTATCTGAGATAGGAAAGATTATTCCAGCTTCTAAAAGCTTCATAATCTCCTTCTTGACAACATCCATGAGATTAGGGTTCAGTCTCCTTTGACTTTCGATTGAGTTTTTAGCATTATCCTCTAGATTTATCTTATGCATACAAAGATCCGGAGAGATTCCAGGTATGTCATCAAGTGAATATCCTAAGGCTTTTCTATGCTTTCTCAGCTCAGTCAACAGCATTGTGGTTTCTTCTTCCGTCAAATCAGAGTTTATTTTGACAGGATAAGTAGAATTTGGTCCAAGGAAGGCGTACTTAAGTCCGACGGGAAGAGGTTTAAGCTCGACTTTAGGGGCTTTAAGCTCGCTCCAAGGATCATTAATTGCTGCAGCAGTGTCTTTAGGAGGTGTAGGAATGTTTGTTTGGTCCTTAAGATCTAGATAGTTCAGAGGTTTCCTATAAGTTTCGGATTTATCAAGCATATGCGCGCATTGACTCGAAATTCCTTCAAGGAAATTGCGTTCGTCTTTTGCGGGTGAAAGCGTGACACTTAAAGGGTCGTCTAGAAGCAGATCTTCATAGACTTCCTCAATAATTCCGTCTAACTCATCAACCCAACAAATTTTGCCATCCAAAGTTGGTTTCTCGAAACTTTTGTTTATGTTAAATTGCATAACTAAACCGGCTAGATGAAAGTCGATTTTTCCTTCAGGAACATTGATTATGGCTCCGGCTGTAGATAGGAATGGTCTTCCAAGAATAAGTGGATCATTAGGTTCTTTTTCTAGTTCTAGAACTACGAAATCGGTGGGTATGGAACATTTTCGATTTCGACAGGAACATCAATTAAGATACCTACAGGTTGTCTAACAGAACGATCAGCTAATACTAAGGAAATTTTAGTGGGCTTGAAAGTGTGGTGTCCTAAGCGTTTTGCTACAGAAAGAGGCATCATGTTTATGCTTGATCCTAAATCACAGAGAGCACGCTCAAAAGCTACATCATTGATGGTGCATGAAAGTACGAAGCTTCCAGGATCGTTTTTCTTTTCAGGGATTCGGCTTTGCAGGATAGAACTACATTCATGGGTTATCATCATAACGCATTCTTCAAGAGTTAAAGAATTTGTTAGAATACCCTTCATGTATTTTCTTAAAGCAGGAATCATAGCACAAGCTTCTACGAAAGGTAATCTCACATTTAATTGATCGATTAGCTCTTTCAGCTTAGCTTTTTCTTTCTCTTTCTTAGGGGCTCTTAAGGCTCTAGGATATGGAGGTTTAGGTTTATAAACACGAGTTGGTGGAGGTGGAGTCGGATCTTCTCCAAGGATTTCTTGGGATGAATCTTCTCTTACTTCTTCTCCGTCCTTTTCTCCTACCACTTCTTTTTCAACATCTTCATTTGTGATTCTCTCTTTTTTTTTCTCCTTTTCCTTACCCTTTTCCTCATCTTCGGGATCTTTAGGAAATTCAGGCTCTTTGTAAGCTAATCCACTCCTAAGTGTGATAGCTTTCACATGATCGGAGGGATCTGCTTCACTTGAGCTTTCGAAAGAATTTTCACTTGGCTCCTTTTCAGAATTTTCTAAGTTTTTAGAATTAGTTTTGATCATCAGGCTAAGGAGGGTGGAAAATTTTTCATCAAAATCTTTCTGCATCTCTTTTAGTTCAGATCTAAGATCACTAATCTCTTGAGACCTAGATTTTTCAAGCTCTAAATTCTTTTTGTTTAGGTTTTCAGATTCAGAAGAAGGAAAACTAGGATAGGGAACATGATTAGATTGAATAGCCAAGATTGGTTCGGAAGGTGGTTTCCAGTTAAGCTTGGAAGATGGTTTCCCGCGGTCAGAAGGCTTGCGACCGCGGTGAAACATGTCTTGGCCGCGGTCAGAACAGCCACGACCGCGGTGAAAGCTTGGTTTGCCGCGGTCCGGATGAATGGACCCGCGGTGATCAGAAACGAATGGAAAATCTTGAATTTGATAGACTTCTGCAGTGTTCACCATCCCTTGATCATAAGAATCCATTGTGTGAGCCAAAACTCGCACAACCAGAAATTTGTTTAAGGAAAACTAAGGGATCGGAAACTTCTAGGGTTTATCGTCAAGAACAGTAAGATCGAAAGAAAGTTTTTCTTGCTGTAAAAGTGTTTAGCTCTTATTGCTTAGGATTGCAAAAGTTACAGAATGAATTGTATACATCGTCTATTTATACTAATTCTCTGAACCGCCTAGCCGAGAATTTCGGGAGAGATTTTCGGAATATTTCCTTATCGCCTCGTGCGGCTCACCGCCTTTGTATTTCACCTAGGGTTTCTATGGGCTTCGTCTTTCAAGGCCTAGGTTCGGCCCATCAAAACTTCTCCACGGCTCGGCCCACTTGCCATTCGAATCGCGACGTGATTTGGTCCACCTCACCGAGGCGCGGCTCGGCCCAAGCATGTTGAAATGCGGCTCGACCCATTTCTCACGATACAGCTCGGTCCACCTGCTTTCTTGCACAGCTCGGCCCACTGGACATCCTTCCCGCGGCTCGACCTACTTGTTCCTCTTCACGGCTCGACCCATCTTTGCACGGCGTGGCCCATATTTCCTTATTCACGGCTCGACCCATCTACCTTTCTCCACGGCTCTCCCACTTGTCTATCTCCACGGCTCTCCCACTTGTCTTTCTCCATGGCTCTCCCACTAGTCTTGGTGAGCGCGGCTCAGCTAATTTGTCTTTCTTCCATACTTAGTCATTTCGAGATGGTTTTATCCGCTTGGGATGAAAACCGAACCCAACAGTTAGCCCCCCAGCTCGTCAGTTTCGGAGGCGAGAATGACGAGGTCAATTACTCCTGACTATAGGATAAACCATCGAGTCAAGCTGTTACGACTTAAGCCCAAAGATGCCGAGGCGTTCCCAAGGAGTGCCGAGGATGCCGAGGCATTTCAAGAAGGTGCTGAGGATGCAGAGGCATTTTAAGGACGAGGCGATTCTGTTTAGTAGGGGCGAGCCGTGATGAGGCGTTTTGAGAAGTTTCTGTCGAGCCTAATAAACGGCGAGGCATTTCGAGAGAAAGTTGGTGCCGAGCCGTTTCATTAACGACGAGGCGTTTCAAGAGAAAGTTGGTGCCGAGCCGTTTTGTTAACGACGAGGCGTTTCAAGAGAGAGCTAACACCGAGCCGTTCGGTTAACGGCGAGGCGTTTTAAGAGAGAGTTAATGCTGATCCTTTTTGTTAACGACGAGGTGTTTTAAGAGAGAGTTAATGCCGAGCCGTTTCGTTAACGACGAGGCGTGTTAAGAGAGAGTTAATACCGAGCCGTTTCGTTAACGGCGAAGCGTTTTAAGAGAGAGTTAACACCGAGCCGTTTTGTTAACGGTGAGGCGTTTTAAGAGAGAGTTAACACCGAGCCATTTCGTTAACGGCGAGGCGTTTTAAGAGAGAGTTAAGGCCGAGCCATTTCGTTAACGACGAGGCGTGTAGAGAGAGTTAATGCTGAGCCGTTTTGTTAATGACGAGGCGTTTACTTTGGTAAGATATCGGCTGAAAACTTGGGTATCCCAACTGTTGGTCTTCCGAGAGAAAATTCCTGATCAATTGGCGCGTGCCACCGACGCAGTTTGGGCTAGCTAATTCACCGTTTATCCCACGCGCTGTTGGACGGTTTCCCAAGGTTTACACGGAATTCACGCGCTTCGGTTTTCCTATAAATAGGTGAGCTCCTTCATTCTTCCTCTTTATCTTCAGACTCACTCATTTTCACTAAAGGTAGCTCTCCCTTGTCTCTTCTTTCTCTCTCTAGTTTATTTATTTTCTGGCTAGGGTTTCCGAGGTCTCCGCCGTTCCAGATCTTTTTCCGGCGGAGGTTCGCCGAGTCGTGCTGTAATTCCTGTATAAGTTGTAAATTATGTCGAGCCGCTCTGACGATTCTCTGGATTCACTCTTTCATTACGAGCCGAGCCGCGTAGATGCCGAGGTGAGAGGTACAACAGAATCATTCGAGGCATCTGTTTCACCGAGCCCTTCCAATCGTTCATCTGACGAGGCGTCAAATCATGCAAATCCGTCAGATGTCGGCTCTCCAGATGATGAGCCGTCGGTTTCGACGAGCCGTCCCCAGGATCCTGTTCCTGATGAAAATATTAATCGCGCCGCACTCAAAGCCGAGGAGAAGGCATTTCCCTTTGACCTATTCGAGGCGAAGCGTGAGTTGGAACATCTCATGGCGCCCCGAGGCGCTTCCACATCTGGGCGAGGGCCACGAGTTAAGAGACAAAAGCCTGACCCGCCTGGCTCTACGCTTTGCTCCCTTGAGTCGCTCGAGGCGTTGAGGCATCGCTTCGGGATATCCGAGGCGGTGGAGTTTGTCGTTCCAGAGAAGAGCGGCCGAGCCGACAAGCCTCCAGAGAACCACTTCACTCTGTACGAGGCGTTCTTCAAGCTTTGCTTTCTCTGGTTCCCGATCGCCGGAGTGATCCTCGAATATCTCTGGAAACATGGAATCTCGATTGGGCAAATCATGCCGAGGGGATTACGGCATATGATTGGCATCTTAGTTCGAAGCTTTGAATGCGGGCTTGATATCGAGCTGAATCACCTGCTGAACTTGCTGGAAATCAGGAAAGCTCCGAAAGGAAATAGATTCTATATTTACAACAAGGCGAAGCGACGGATCATAGGCGGTTTTCCCAGCAAGGATCAGTTTCGGATTGAACGCTTCTTCTACGTCTTGGTGAACGAGGCGTCGGTCGGCGAGGATTACGTTCAAAGAACCAAGACCGCTTGGGGACCACTTGGTAGCCGACCCGAAGCTTTGCCTCGGCTCGGAACTGTTTTTTGGTATCCTTTTCCCTTACTGAATTTTTCCTTTTTTTGCTTTGTTTTGCAGTTCGGAACATTCTTCCCCCGATTCCCGACGACCTCTTTGTTGTTCGAGATTCTCTTTCGGCTCGGAAGGTCAATTGGAGGAAGAACTTCTCCCTCGAGAGAGTAGAGAAAGCCCGAGCTATCCTTGCCGGAGTCCCTGTCAGCTCTTCGTCTTCCAGCTCCTCAAGAGATACACGAGAAAAAATGGTGATAATCGCTCTGAGAGATAGGAAGAGGCGTGAAGAAGAAGAGGCCGCGAGACGAGCTGCCGAGGCGGCTCAAGCGCAGACCGAGGCGGTTCAAGCGCAGACCGAGGCCATCCCTCAACCCGACTCGCCGAGCCGGGAAGGAGACGAAATAGTCCAAGCCGCAGAGGCCAACACTGCCGAGGCGGCCGAGAAAGATGCAGCGCCCGAGGTGGAACCGGGCGAAATTATTCCCGAGGCATCCGGGGATGATTCGGCGGTGCGGAGCAAAACCCCTTCGAACTCCGCCATTTTGGCCCTCCCGAAGTCGACGAGGCCCCCAACTTCAGTTGTTCAGAAACATGACCCCAGCCAAAAACGTTCGGCCGCTGACAAGGGGAAGGGTGTTGCTGTTCAGAAGGATGAGCCGTCCAAGAAGAGGCGGAAGCCGACGCCCGGAGGCTCTGCTGCGCGCAAGTTGGTCGTCGACGACCCCGACGCCTCTGCCGTTATGTTATCGCGTGTAAATAACGCGAACACTCGTCTTCCTCCTCCGGAGAAGCTGAGGAGGCCGAGGTCGTACGGCGCGATGGCACAGCACGGTACCAAGGTACGTTCTATTTGCTTTCCTTTATTTTCACGAATTTTACTAAGTGTTTAACGCGAGTTTGTTCTTTGCAGTTTGTAGCGGCCATTAACGACCTGATGGCCGAGTACGAGGCGGACCTGTCTAAGGTTGAACGTCGCTTGGACGAGGCCCGAAATGAGACCGCAGCGTCAAAGGTGAAGCTGGAAGAGGCTCAGAACGAAGCCGCGGTGGCAAAGGGGAAACTGGACGAGGCGATGGCCAGGGCGTCCAGGCTGGAAGAGGAGAAGATTGTTTTGCGCGCCAATGTTGATAAGGTCTCTGCCTCAGTCATTCGCCTCGAGGAGGCGAGGAGAGCTAAAAGCGCCGAGGTGGCGATGCTTAAGAGGCGTATTGAAGCCAAGGACGCCTTGTTCGATGCCAAGGTCAAGCCGGCGAAAAAGGAGACGAGGCGAGAGCATACGGCTAAGTTTCAAGAACGCCTCGCCAAGGTGGAGGAGGGTTTGGCCAAGCTCGAGAAGGCCAAAAATGACGAGAATGATCTGGGGCAGATCAAGGGCAATCTTGCGATGATTGCCGACCTGAAGAAGTTGAACGCCCCAACGCTCGATGACGAGGAGGCGAAGCTGAAAAACTAGGAGAGTGAATATGCCGACGACGAGGCGTATAAGCGTATTGCCTCCGAGATCCGAGGCGAGCTGGTTTTCTCTCCCGTATCGCCGGACTTGGTAGACACCAGCATTGGCAACAAGCCGCTTGAAGAGACAGCGACCAACCTGGGTGTCGTTGATCCGACCAGATCGAACACGGGGACACCGGCCCTCTCAAACCTCCTTGCCGAGCGCGAGACGCAGTCCGCGGGCTGATACTCTCTACTTTCCCTCACCCTTTATTGCATATGTTCTTTTTTTGTACTTAGGTTTTTTGATGATTCACTTTTCAAACTTGTTATGTAATCGGTGCCTGGATGGCTTTATCCACTTGACTTTTGTTTCTGCTTTATGGATATATTTTATTTTCCTTAGCCGTTTTCGGATTCACTTGTCTCTAACGATCCGTGAAAATGTTTACGAAAACTGTTGGCTTAGAAAAATGTTTACGAAAAATGTTTTCGAAAACTGTTGTGTCGAGAATGATTTTGATTGCTTCCTTAGCCAAACTTTTTGAAATTGATAGAAATACGGGCTAAGGGATGAGTTGTTTAAGGATCTCTTTTGGGTTCTTAATTGATAACACCGTATTTTGACCACTTTTATGGATCGTTTTGAAATACGTTTTCTATGTTTTTAATTGCTTTTAAGTACTTTTATCACGTTTTTCTAGTATTTGTAGTTTCAAGACTCTTTTCAGGTAACTTAGGGAAAAGCTTTACAAAATGGATAGAAAACCAGATTTCAGCTCAGAGTCAAACCGTCAGAAGTTCACCCCTGATTGAAGGACTTCTCACCGTCTGATCCAGCTCAAATTTGGAGACCTTAAAGATGGAAGTATCAGCTTTCCAGTGCACTTTACAGCTTGGCAATCCAACGGTTCAATCAAAAGATACGCGAAAAGCAAGATGTCCCGTAAACCAGCTGGCCAGCACTGGCCAACAAGCATTTTCCCGCGGTCAGGAGCATCCCGACCGCGGCAAACCACTCATCCACCGCGGTCAGAGCACTCCCGACCGCGGCCTTAACCTCCGAGCCCAAAAAGCCCATTTCTGAAGCCCATATTTGGAGAAACCCTAAGTGACGTCCAGAGAGGTCTTGAGCACTATAAATACATGTCTTAGGAGCCCTAGAAATAGGGTGTGTAACCTTAGACCACCGAAATATTTACTTTATATTTTTATTGTTTTTGCTTTAGCTTTTAGGGAGAGAGAGAATTGTTCTCTTCAACCCTTGTTCTTTCTTTTTCAATTTCGGTTTCTATTCTACTTCTTAATACTATGTCTTTGATTTCGTTCATTATGTCTGAGTAGTTTTATTGTTGGGATTAAGGGATTTTCGATGGGGATTTATATGTTCGGTGAGGATTCCATTGGCTATTGAGCTGAATCTTAGAACTTTTTCTTCTGAATTCGTTTTTACTGCATGAGGGTAGCGTCATGAACTACAATCTGATCCAGATGCTTGGTGACGCGAAAGTGTTCATCCGGTGTCAGATCTAGTTTAGGAGAGCAAAACAAACATAGGAGTGGAAACCTACCTATGGGCGATTTGTGAATTAGGACGAGTCTTAAACATAATGCATCTCTTCTCTTCCAGGGCCAGAGTGGAAACCTACTGGTCAGGGTTGAGAGAGATAGTTGTCTATGATCACGACAGTGGCGTATTCATATGTCCGTGACTCCAGTTCGAAAAGGTTAAGCTAAGATCTTACAAAATTTCCTCTCTAGCAATGTTTTGAATCGTTCGTACCCCTGAGAAAACTTCCCTGAAGCCCAACGCCTTTTTCTCCATTGATTTACACCATTTTTCTTTAAGCTTTAGTTCAATATTGTCTTTCCTTTTTAGTTCATTTTCATTTAAGCATTAGAATATCCGTTTTTATCATTTTTAGTTATTTTCGTTAAGTTTAGTTATTACGCCATTTAATTTCCGTATTCGCTTTTAAGATTTCGTTTTTAGATTTTAAACACACTACCAAACCCCCACTAAACCGTTTTGTTCTAGACTTCCTTACTTTAACTAATTTCAAAGGCTTTTTGCAGCAAAAGATCCTCCTTCCTTGTGAATTCGATCCCTAAGTACTACAATTGATCAGCTGTGCACTTGCGGCTATCGATTTCAATTAGGGTAAAACTTGACACCCACACTCAACATCACATCAAGTTTTTGGCGCCGTTGCCGGGGAAGGCACGCGTTTTTTTTTCTGCAAAACCCCGAGAAAGGTTAGTAAATCGATTCTAGAACCCCTTTTCTGCAACTTTCCATTTTTTGGTTATTTTGTTTCCATTTCAGAAGATATGGATCCTATAAATCAAAATAAACAAAATGAGGAAGGTTTCTATAACACTCCTCAAGCCACCAGACGCAGAGAGAAGCATCTACGCGATCTCTACGAAAAAACTCAACCCAAAGACTACAGAACGTTCCAGAAAGAGCCCTACGCACCTCAGATGGCAAACCCTAGATACTCTATGTATCGCCTACCTCACCAGGTTCTCCAGCAAGATGAGAACGTCCAGCTCAGCAACAGATTGAGCCAGCTCGAAGGCGTGATCAGACAATTCATAGAAGCTCAAGCAACCACTACAACTGCTCTAAACGAAAGGATTGATGGGATATCGAAACTTTTCAATGAAAAAATCGATAACCTAGTCTCACAAGTCAATTCAATAGAGGAATGTGCAACCAAGGATGCAGCTATGATTGCTAGCAGGTTCAACAGCATCGAGGAAGAGCAAGCAAAGCACAACTATGAGCTTCGCAACACCAAAAACAAAGTCATGGACCTGGATTTCAAACTTGATGACGTGGACAAAGCCCTAAACGAAGCCAAGAACGAGTCTTATGACTTTACAGTCGAAGTTTCAGAGCAGGTTTACAAAGTCATCGACAAAACCGAAGAGCTTGACTCAACTATGGACAAAGTAGTCTATGCTCTTGATGAAGTCGAAGAAAAGGTTGAGGAGATCATGCAAGGACTTGGAGAGCAGATTCCAACAACCAAAACTAAAGACTCAAGTCCAGAGAGGAAGTACATCAAGCCAAAAGACCCAGGAGACCACCAAGGAGGCAAAGGAGGAAGCAACAGCAGCAGAGAAACTCGGAGACCAACTCCCGCGGTCGTGATGGGTCTGCCCGCGGCCCATGGTCGCTTCCCCGCGGTCACGTCACCTGCAGTCAAGGCTAACCGTAAAAACGTTCCAAAACACTCCCGTTCAGCTCATACAAGCATCTGTACGTCTGGTACACCTCCTGGGATGACTAAACCACTCCATCAACAACTGGTTTGCTCCATAAGCACCCAAAAATCTGAAGAAGAGGACAAGTCATGGCCTTGCAACATGGCTTTGTCTTGTGAAGATGAGTATGAAGAGCAATACTCTGAAGATGAAGAGTATGGATTGTTTGTAGAAGATCCAAACGCAGGATATTCCTCAGAAGACGACTCAGGAGAAATTCAATGGATCACCAACAACATCAGTAGAGAGAAGCTAATGGAGTTCAACAACGTAGTCAGGTCATTCCCTGCTCATTTAAGCTTTGAAGAAATCTGGAAACTTGGTCGTTTGCAAGTCTTTTTCAGGTACTGCAAGGAGTCTAAAGAGGATATTCATAGATACTTTATGAGAGCTCGATACATGACAATACCAGAAGCAGCTGTCTATGCGATTCATCTCAAAAAATCCGGAAGACTGCAGCCACTACACCAACAGAATCAGTAAAGAAAAGCTCGATGAATTTAATGATGTGGTTCGAAATTTGCCTGAAGGAATCACGTTTGCCAGAGCTTACAAGGACTTTATGATAGGCCACTACTTCTGTGAGAGCAAAGAATCAATCCCTGAGATAGAATACTTGTTCAATCATGCCAGAAGAGGTAAGCCTGTTCGAACACTTCACAAAATCGATGGTGCAGGTCAGTTTCTTATCTCTTGTTCTATTAGAGGAGAAATGTTTAAAAACGTGCTATGTGATTCTGGAGCTTGTCTTAACATGATGTCCAAGGCAATTGCTTTGAGACTTGGTATCAAACACCTGCGCAGGACTAGAGCAAAGATTAGCCTAGCTGATGATTCAAATGCAACACCTCAAGGAATAGCTCATGAAATTCCTTTGAGAGTAGGAGATTGCATAGTGCCTGTCGACTTCTACATTGTCGAAACGAGAGATGCAGCATATCCAGTGATTCTGGGATGGTCTTTTCTAGCAACTTCTGGAGCTATAATGGACTGGCCAAACCGGAGGATTTCATTTGCTAATATCGACAAAGATGTCTTCACAGAAGCTGTTTCATACAACAGCAAAGCAGGAAAACGTCCTGCAACAGAAGAGTTTGAAGAAGAACTTTGGAGTGACGAAGAACCTGCTAAGCAAAGCAAGGAGATGTCGAAAAAGACTTGTCTCAGGACAAGGTCTTCTTCATTGGAATAAGTCACGTCCAACACCAAAAGTCGAGCTAAACGACTTAAAACAAAAGCGCAATGGGAGGCAACCCATTTAGGTATTGTTTTCTTTAGAATTTTTCTTTCTTTTTCTTTTGATAGTTTTCTTTTTCTTAGTTTCAGATGTTTCTTATAAAACAAAAAAGCCAAAAAAAATAAAAAACCAGAAAAAACCAAAAAGAAGGATGGTACCTGACTGCTCGGCCCAGCAGGAACCAAGGAGATGCAGGAAGAGGCCACGATATAAGCCCCCGCGGTCGCAGACGTTCTGACCGTGGGAAACCTACCGTCGGCCGCGGTCGCGTGAATATGACCGCGGCCAAGTGCTTGATTGCCGCGGTCGTGCAGCCCCTGACCGCGACACTTGGTTGTTGAGATCCAAACCTGACCCAAACCACCCCTTTCATCCCATTCCACCTCACCAATCACCCTCCACCTCATTCATCACCTTCCACCACCTTCATCACCACCTAATCACGTTCCCAAACCCCTTCGAATGAATCCGGTTCATCTCCACCAGCATCCCGGATCCAGGTAAGTTCT